TGGATTGCATACTTCTGCTGAGACACCTGAGGTGGCTCGGTCATGTGTGGCGTATGGATTCGACGCGGATACCGAAACAACTCCTATATGGTCAGTCGAGTATTGGGAAGCAGCATGTGAGGAAACCAAAGTTACGCTACCAGGACATGATCAAAGTGAGCCTCTCACGTTCTAATCTTGATTGCAGGTCATGGGAACCAAAGGCGGTTGATCGGCGTGCATGGCGCGATCTAATCATGAAGGCAGTTGCCGAAGTGCGAAAAAAGACCTCATACATGCAGAGAAGAAGCGGCAAATGCGGAAGTGGCAAGCACCGATGGGTTGTACTCCATCGACATCGAGCGCATCGCGCTGCAGCACATGCGGTCGCGAGTGCCTGAGTCAGGCAGGGCTAGTGAGCTATGAGCAAGGCCACTCAGGATCACTACCGAAGCGAGGACAGGTCCTACAGAGAACGTAAGCAGAACTGGCGCAGCATTTGTAGGCACGCTGCATTCGATGTATTAACCACGTGCTTGCATGCTAAATCTCTTTATTTCAGGTGGTGGGTTTTCAATTTTGTCCTAATGCTTTTCTTTCCCATATAAATGTCTACCTGTACTCTCTTCTATAAACTTGCACACGTCGCTTAAACCAATTGTAGTTAATTTCGATAACATTTTCGTGCATGTGGCATTTCCATAAAACATACTTTCTGACATCGTGAACATATCTCGGATTATGTTGTAAACAACATATTTGATATGCTCATTAATTTAAGACTTATGTCACGTTTCTTTATGCATTACTCGATTTATTTTATTTGTTATCTTTCTCGCAAGTGCTTGGCTGTTGCTTGACATCCCCGGTGTGGCTGCGCTTGATGTGCATGTTGACAAAGTGCCTACCTGTCTATTACCCACTACCTCGTCCATATTGGCTCTAGGAGACAGTTGGTCGTTGCTGGAGAGGACGGGGTGCACGGTCCTTGTGGCCGTGCCAGAATCAAAGAGTGGTTCCATGCACTCAGTGTGTAGCGGACTACGGTCCAGCCACCGCCTTGTAGGCGCCTGATTCCCAAATACAGCGTGCATGTGTTTGCCTGTGAAGGAGTGTGGGCCGGCTCCGTTGATGAAACGTGGCTCCCATCCACATGCCTCCCCGTCCTATTCCTTTGGGTTTACACTGGATAAGGGGTGTGTGGTTGGAGCTGTGAGTGGTGCAGTGCAACCCACCCATGGTACCTCTGTGGGCGCAGGCGTCCTGTGGCTGGTCCCAGTGACAGGCAACTCCGAAGCTGGAAGCCGCCACCCATATATATATATATATATATATATATATATATATATATATATATATATATATATATATATATATATATATATATATCAGATGGCGCGGCCTTCGCAGTATCCCTGGTCCACGTGCGGCCAGTGGTGAGTGTGCGACAGCGACGCGTCGGTACTGAGTGCCGGTGTGATGCTGATGCCATCTTCTTCATCCTTTGGCTAAGTGCCCAAAGAGAAAGTTTCTCTGGCAGAAGCTTTAGAATTAGGCATTTACAAAGACGACGATGAGCCAAATCGAAAGCGACCCTCAAGTCAAGGAAGGTTGTGATAGTAAGATGTCTGTGAATGTAGTGATGTTCAAATAACCTGACAAAGTACAAAATGTGGCCAATGAATCATCTGACAAGGCTGCGACCGGCCTAGCTTTTACGGGCATGTGTGTCAAAAGATTAACAGGTCACTGAAGCATGATGCAAGCCAGTAGTTTGGGTGGCTATTGAGGTCACGCTGATACAACGACGAGTATCCCAGGAGGTTTTTTGGTACGTTTTGGAAGATGGGGATGGCGATTGACAGCTACCAATCGGGTGACATTTCCTCCTTGGACAAAACGGCGTCAATAGACAGCCAAGGCAATCACCGGTGATTCATCAGCGCCTTCCAGAAACGATGGTAAAAGTTCTCTGGTGACGAAAAAGTGTTCCACCACAGCATCGACAGCTTGTCAATTGCGGAATATTTTACGCCAACACCACGGATGGATTCAACTAACTACTGTGACTGTGTTGTGACAGAGAGCGAACTCATTGTTCCTCCATCTCAACTACAGTCCCACTCTCGGAATCCTGTCAGAACACTGATATGCATTACTGAGTGCTCTCAACGGAACTGGCTTTCTCAAACACAAGTGGTTTCACCATTCACCAAGGCACAAGGTCAATTCTGAGACTACAAGCCGGAGAATATTTCAATGCTACAGGAAACCTGAAACAAATATCCCATTGGAATCTTCTTACTTTCTTCACTTAGGCTAACGGAAGCCGTGCTTCAAGTCGGACTGACAAACGATCCCGAAGTATTTTGCATAGTGGACTGAAGGTGGTCCTACTCCGCACTGGATTCATCCACCACATTAGTAAACGGCATATGATGCTACAATTCAGACTAACACAACTGTCTCGCACATTGCGAATACAGTTGACAAGAAGGCACATCTGACGCCGGAAGCCTCATCGAAGCCGGAATGATGAGTATTGTGTAGGTATTATAAAGATATGACAAGAATTGAAGTGCTCTAGATTGAACGACGATATAAAACTGATGAATGAAATATGTAACCGATGGAGATGTGTTCGATTTGAATATATGGCAGTCTATTGTTACAGCGCCGTCAGATGATTCAATGCGCACTCTGGCGTTGGAAAAATGTACCGCCGATGAAAGAATCACAATCAGTGCACACCAAAACCGCTCCCGAAGTGATGTCCTGATCCTGATATGTAACTAATACGAACCTTACTGTCACCCGAATGGAGTGTAAAAACTGCAGTTTCGGATGCTTAGTGAACAATGGGAGTTATTGGGTTTTTTGGAAAATCCTTTGTAGCTAGACAACCATCAAAGATAAAGGAAAGTAGTTTTGGATGTCTAAATGGGAAAAGGTGGTCCATGAAACCAATGGTTGATGCCTCCATACAGTAGTTGTTGGGAGCATAGGCATCGGGTTAGTAACTATGAGTGAAACTGAATGGTACGGATGCGTACATTCACTATGATCCATTTCAAAAGAGCAGTCTTCGTAATTCTGATGACAGCGAATACGACACTGTAGAGGTCGCGAGCCATAAACTTTACATCACCGGAGGCGAATCGCGTACGTCTTATCATTGGAAGTCCAGTTCAGCAAGTATAAATGTGTTGGGAGACTACCGGGTAACATGCGTGTTTCGGTGACAGTATACATCAGCCCCAAAAGAGTGTCAGTCTGTAGTGAATATCGTCCGCTAACATAATGTGCGAACGTTCAGTACCCTAAGCAGAATGTTACCCTTTGTTTAAAAATGACCCTATTTCTTAGATATGGTGGTAGCCGAAGTTACAAGTGGTTTCTTGCAGGTAAACATGAATTCATGAGTGAGGAGGATGCGGGAGAAGAAATATACCCAGTGATGGTGTCTTGTGGACAAACTAAAGTTTTCAACTGCCCACTTCGAGGGTTTGATCTGCAAGCTCTTGGGGATCGTGACCGGAGAATTGCATAGGGATCTACCGAAGGCCGGCTACGTGTAATGATAGAAGATTTATGACAATTCATCCATATTTGAGGTCTGTCGTCAAACTCAACCTAAGTTTTTCGTGTTTGTACTTTATTGTTTAGCGAGTGGGTGGCGTGGTGCAGGTAATAGAAAACCAATGAGCAACAGCTGCGGCCTTAAATCACCAGAGAGAAGCCGTTTATCTTGTGTCCCAACCCGACCGAGCTGAGATTACAGTCCGTAGACTGAGGATGCCCATGGGAAAGGTATTGATGTCTTTTCAATCTCATACGAAAAGGATGCCGAGACGTAGTTTGCCTGAAGCCTAACCACGGACCTGTCCTATGCGGGTGGGTCTAAAGGCAAGAAGAAAATGCAACCCGACGCAGTACAATGGAACATGGAGATACACAACCCATTGCTCCACTGTGACCCAGTCTCGTCGTGTTAAGGAACAAGGTTACTGGCTGGGGCTTTTGTCTACTAGGTACCAAGCTATCAAGTGATCGAGGACAGTGCCCAAGTCAGCAAAGACAGCGTAAGACAAACAGACTGCACATGATGGTGTTAGACGCTATTATACCAATTATCAGTTAGCAGACATCAGCACCGCATAAGATATAAACAATACCCATTCAGCGCTGGTGAACAGAGATCAGTTTCCTAATATTTTCAACGTGCAATGGTTACACCTCTGATGCACACACAGTGGCAATGGGCACACGGTGGTGTTGCACGGTACTCCCTTGACAGCTAAGCCTATATGCGTGCGGATACGAGAAGATAAACCCACAAGAGGCTGATAGATTCATGTAATAACTCTTCCCGCGACTTGGCCTCAGAAGATAAGGCGACAACCTAAATAGGTGAGCCGATTGACAACAGCAAGTGGATGTTCCGTGACCGTGAGAAGGTTTGGAATCAACTCGGCTCTACGAACATTGTTTTCTGATGGTCAGTGATCCACAACGAAATGTAAAGCAAGCTGTATCAACCTGTGCAGCAGCGTTTCATCGCCTGGAAACTAGAATTTTCAATCAGTAAGGTTGCAGTTTCAAAAACGGACAAGGAGACAATGCTCTACTCGACTGATGTGTTCCTACGCATTGCGAAGTGGGGTATTGAGACATGCTTCAGGAAAGCGACGTCGAGGAATCTGATGAAGCGTTTTCAGTATGGGGTCTAGAAAAAGAACTGTCTTTTGATTAATTTGGCAGCAAACGCCGAGCGAACGGTCTTGTTTGGTTAGAACAAACGCTCAGCTAGACGAGAAAATGAAAATGGCATATGAAAAGAGAATTGGGAGTTCAAATGCATCAGGTGAGCACATTAAGCAGTCCATGACAATGGGTGACCATACAGGGAAAAGAGCCGTCTACAGAGAAAGAAGAAATACCATTAATTAACCTGCCAGTAATGGGTGGCAAACGAAGAGCAAAACGTCTGCAACAGGTAAAGTAGCGTGAGACGAAATTACCTGGAGTGTTCGTTTTTCGGTTTCTAATTTTTCCATCTTCTTCCACAGACGATTCACGAGGGCTTCCTGCTCCTGCTCCAGCGCATTTTCCAGTTCGATCTTCTCTCTACGCAACCGATCCAGACATTCCTGTTTGTTGCTCATGTCTGTCTCCAATTTCTCAATACGCAGTTTTAACTTGGTAACCTACATGAATAGTTTAAAAATATATTAAACAGATCGACTCAACCGAAGGCTTAAAGTGCACAAGAACTGTGGTGGGCATCTAAGGTTAAAAAACAGGAATAAGTAAATATAACTATCGGAATACAATCCGCTTACAGAACATTTAAAGCCACAAGTAGTAAAAAACTGAAGCAAAAAAACGAGCATGGGCAGATATCATGCAGCATTTATAAAAAAAATCATTCAAAAGGAACTGGGTTGTGTTACTTGATCCTCCTGTTCTCGCGCAAGGGTGCGTTCCAACGCAACTTTTTCCTGTCGTAACTGAGTGAATTTTCGATTAAGCTCATTGGTCAGACATTCCTCTTCTTGTTCGTAGTTGAGTGCTAGTGACTCTTTCTCCTTTTTTAATTCCGTGATCTTTTTGAGCAAAGTGTTACTAATGTACTCTTCCTCTTGTTCTGCCTTCGCCTGTATGTTGACACTGTTCCGCCGAAGTTGCTGGTTTGCCTCGTTAAGACCCCTGATTTTCAACTTCAGGGTTTCTATCTCCGTTTTCAGCACCCGATTTTCCTGTTGCAAAGATTCCACTCTTCTGGACAACTGCTCGTTTGTGGCTAAATTATCCTTCACGCCCTCCACAGAGCTTGTATCAGATTCAACATCAAATTCTGAAGCGCTATCAGCCATGAAAAAAGAAGGCAGTTCGATAGATCTAAAACGGAACAGAAAAACCAAGGGAGCCATTTGTGAGTAAAAATAGTAATGATTAGGAGGAATTCAATAGAAGTAATTGGAAAATGAACAAATTCAAGTTCGGATAGCCACGAACAGAAAGAGTATGGCTACTGCAGACTCATGGTAAAGTAATTTGATTAACTCCAACGATGGCCAGCTAGCTGGGGGTGCAAAATGCCAGATTGATGCTAGTAAATCGTGCTGTTAGGAAACAGCAAATGTTCAGCGAAAAACTGCAAACGCTCGTCATCCGTGCCTTCAGAATGGAATCAAAACTTTCCACCTACGTGAGCTTCTGGGCAGCTCAGTTGACCTACTTGTGCATTCACAGCCCAAACCACTAGTATGCAACTTAAACTCGTAAGGCTGTGAGTCAAGATGTAGAGTTAGTGATCACCAGCATTATCATTACATAACAGCTGAAAGTGAGAAAAACACTTCAACGATTTGCCGTAATTCAAAAAAAAGATTTATGAAAAAGCAGGATACTAAACGCAATAGAATATAAAAAATACATGTAACACTGCTTCGTTCCATATCATACTTCAAAACAAAGATCGTGATTGGAGGGACAAAGAAACGCACAACACAGACCCCAATGAGATCGGCTCCTTGTCCTGTCAACAAGTGTATTCAACCAAACGCGTTCATCGTTCTCCGGTCCCCAGCCCGACAGTCGAGAGACACCGAAATGAGAATCTCCATTTCTTCGGACTAAGTCATTAGTTCGCCTCACCTCCTCTTCTTCCATCCAAACCCCAGCACGCAAAACGACGCACGTCGCAGGAGTCTGTGTGCGGGCATGCGCAATATGTGGCCTAGCCACCGGAGCCTGATGCATGATATAACAGTGCTAAATGGTTCACTCGCCCTTCCTGCATCAAATGCACGATGTCAAATACGCTCATTACCCACGCGGTGCTCACACCAGACATGAGCTAAGCTTCGAAGGCAGGTATGATGGAACGCAACTAGTCTCTTTACATCTGTCGACTTGATGAGACAGGTTTCGCAATCGTACATGAAGGTTTGTTGAATACTGTCTCTTGAATACGTCAGGTTCTAACAAGGTGATACCAACTCTCCTAGTCGGATGAACGAACGATACTCAGAATTATTTTCTCGCACAGCACGGTAATGGACAAACTCGAAGTCTGTGGGTTTTCGGAACACGTTCGACTAGCGTGAATTAATCTTTCGGGGCTAAGTTCCGAGAACGCACAGACTTCGAGATTGTCAGTTACCGTGCTGTGCGAGAAAATAATTCTGAGTCTCGTTCGTTCTTCCGACTAGGAGAGTTGGTATCACATTGTTAGAACCTGACGTATTCAAGAGGCAGTATTCAACAAGGTTACATTGTAAACTTTCCCCTTCAGAACCAGAGGGATGTTTCACCTGCGCCACAGGTGGTGGAGATTGGTAAAAGCAAATCAAGCTTATGCCATGTGGCTCGTGATATAGCTGCCTAGGTACTGGCATTTCTCAACGACTTCTAGCTGATCAGCGCCAAGAGTCAGCGCAGGAATGGGTCTTTGCCAATCTGGGAGAAGCATTTTACATATAGAGGGTGCAAAGAATAGCCCGAAACAACTTTTTAATTTATCCAATGCAGCTTGGCACATTCGGGGGCTGTCACAGATGAGCACAATGTCGTCGGCGTAATACAAGTCAATAAATCGATCATCTGGGAGCAGCCTTACATTTGCTAGGTCGTGACCAGTGAACGCGTTTTCTATGACCATGAAAACGGAGAAGTTAAAAAGGAAAGGTGACAGTGAGCAAACTTGTCTCACACAGCTGGAGATAATGAAGGACGCCGAAAGCTGGCCGTAAACCCTCACCCTATCCGGACTAGGGGCGTATAGCGCTCTGAAAATGTTTACGTATTTCTCCGGGTACACGTTTCCTGGGTAGGCAGTCCCAAAGGGCACATCGATCCACCAAATAAAAGGCCTCTTTGATGTCTAGGAAGACGATTACAGTGGGTCGCCGATAAATATTGCCGTTGGTTGGCTAATATACAAATGCTCACATTTTGTTGATCAATGCATGAGCATATAAAATTAACGATTTCTATCAGAGGTATGTTGGTCAACAATGAGACGACACCTAGAGAAAACATTCGGTAATCACAGGCATGTTTCGAACTGCGCCGATAAACTGAAATGTATCCGTCAATTGATGATGAGTAATCATTTGCCTAATGGGGTTTAGTATCCTTGTCAACCACTGTGAGATGTGATACGGCGAATTTTTCATATTCAATATTGACCTCAATTGTTTGCCTGGTTTGTGTATTTTAGGGACGCCATGAAAACAGGGAATGGTAGAGATAATACTTTCAGATACATAACGCTTTGTAAAATGTAAACAACCGAAAGACAAAACGCCCTACACAGAAAAGCAACTGGTTAAGTGTTTGAAATCATTAGTGAGTTACAGTTTCCTAACCAAGGAGACATACGAACCATTTCGGCCCACAGGTTCCACGATTCCGTCTTCGCGGCCTCCCTAAAATAAATAAATGAGGCAAACTATTGACGCCGATAATGGATATGAGGAATTCGCCATATCATAACATCACAAATTGGATGACAAGAATACTAAATCGTATCAGGCGAATGACTGCTCCTCATCAACAGACAGATACATTACGGTTTATCGGCGAAGTTAGAAACATGAATAACTTGGATTATCGAAAGTTTTTTGGACATCCACACACTGTTCACCAACGTGCCTCTGATAGAAACCGTTGATCTTCTATGCTCGCACAATGATCAACAAAATACGGTGGTGCTCTAACAATCGACGTAATGTAGAGATGTGATATTGAAAGCCGCGAATTCGACGATACCGGACGTGCTCCTCACAAAGGTGACTTTTATTGGTGCCAGCAGGTATATGAAGAAAGATAGAGGCGAGTGCCTAAGAGGCAATTGAGATCAGGCTGATCCCTCGATGATTGCTGCATTCGGAACGTGAGTTCTTTTTGAAAATTGGGACTATTACGGAACGGCTCCAGTCTGCTGGGACAGCTTCCTGCTCCCACAGCTTCACAAGTAAGTTATGCAAGTCATTTACGTGAGCAAAACTCGCGAATGTGAAGAGAGCCGGGTCAAGGGGGAGGCGCAGGGAGAAGAACAATCAATGGCAGAAGGAAAGCTGGTAACTCTAGTTGCAAAGTTGTTTTTCAAAGTGTTCGCCCCAACACTCCAAGCGATTTCACAAACTGTGGATTAGCCGACCACCATCGTCGCGCATGGTCTCATTGAAAACAGATCTCTCGCGAATCAGACGGTATAAGTTCTGATGGTTACCAAGGACAGCGAACAATCCCATCTCTGATGCACAATGAGACCACTAGCCTTCGCGGTCTCTCTTCAGACTAGCACGCAATTTCGCCCTGGAGTCTTTGCGAGTCTTGTGGTATTCGCTTCCATCCGAAATGTGTCGGCGAGCAACCAGAAGTTCCAGAGACTGCACAGAGACCCAATATCCAGGTTGGCAATTTAAATCCTCACATGAAGACATGCATGCTGCTAATAACGTGTGGTGGATATGCGATCAGTGGACCTCCATGTGTTCAGAGTCGGATTTCAGCGCACTTTGATACGCATTCAGAACATGTGGCTTCGCCAGCTGGAAAGTATCTATGCGCTCACAGTGCCGCCTCATACGCCCACCGGAGCGAACTGTAATATCAACACAAAGGAGTATGTGGTCAGAGTCCACGCTGGCGATCCAAATTGATCGACAGTATTGGACACGGTCTCTCCAGCGGTAACTGATCGTGATATCAACGATTTGCGTCCATAGCTGGTGGTTGCCATGTCACCTTTCGGTAGGTGCTGTCGGTAGTGCTCGCGATAAACAAACGAGCACCTTCACACAGGTGTAGCAACCGCCCAAATGCAGCTACTCAATGTACAGTTTCCTAACTTGAACGTTCAGATCACTAGCACTACAGCATCCGTAGTTTACCCGTAACGAACCTCGTTCAGTTGCTGATAGATTTCATCTTTCAACGAGTCGGTGTTACCGTTCGTGGTGATGTAAACCACAATGACAAACAAGTAGTGTTTGCCCCCGCGCGACTTCGGAGCTTGTAACGAGCCAGCCACCTGGCTTGCCGAACTACCCACTCGTGATGCCAGATGATCAACCGGTTCATCTATATCGACGCGTTTCCATTACCACGGATCGATGAACAAGTCGAGGTATCCCACAATGATGCTTATAGCACATTGGACCTGCGAAGTGCATATTATCAAATACCAATAAATGAAAGTGAAAAAGTATACATTGCCTTTGAAGCTTTCGGAAATTTATATCAGTTTCGTCGCATTCCTTTCGGAGTTATGAACAGCGTGGCGTGTTCCCAAAGAGCCATAATTAGTCTTATTGAACGCGACCAGCTGTCTGGTACCTTTGGGTATGTAGATAACATCATCTTTTGCTGAGAACCACGAAAAAATGACTGCAATCTCGAATCGTTTCTATCTATCGGATGACATTTAACCAAGAAATAAGCATCGTCAGAGTGCAGAAAATTACTGTCTTAGGAATCGAAGTATCCAAGGGCAAGCGCAGGCCAGACCCCGACTGATGCAGACAATTGTGTGAACCTTCCAGCGCACGATCTGAAGTCTCGACAACGAGTCATCGGGATGTTGGCCTATTACTCCCAATGGATCGTAATTTTGTTTGGACAGACGTACATCCATTGGTCTTAAAGCTATGGAAGAGGTGCCACCATTTTTGCACCTTAAATACGGTGTAATTGGGTACCAGGAGTTTCCAATTCCATCAACGAACCACACGGATTACGCTGATGGTGGTGTATGCATTGACATCAGTGTGCCTCCATCGTGTATAGTGAAGTCGTGTATATAGAGAGTAAGTAAGCGGATTTTACCCATAGATGGAAATGACAGCTACCCACTGACTGCTAT